GAAGAATGGCTTGGCACCTGTGGCTCAAGCGGCTAAGGTGCCAGCCACATACACTTGAGCTGGAGGGTTCGAATCCAGCCCAGTCCTGCCAAACAGCAATGACAGCTGCAACCAAAAAAAGAAGAAGAAGAAAGAAAGAAAAATAGCTGACTATTATGGTGGGCACCTGTAGTCCCAGCTACTTAGGAGGTGGAGGTAGGAGAATCATTTGAGCCTAGAAGTTGGAGGTTGCTGTGAGCTGTGATGCCATGGCACTCTGCCCAGGGTAACAGCTTGAGGCTCTATCTCAAAATAAATAAATAAATAAAAATAATAAAGATTGGGGCGGGGCTGTGGCTCAAAGGAGTAGGGCGCCAGGCCCATATATGGGAGGTGGTGGGTTCAAACCCGCCCCAGCAAAAAAAATAAATAAATAAAAATAAAAATAAATAAAGATTGAAGAATGAATATATAGAGATGTACTGCTATTGATGACATCAGGGAGAAGGTACTGAGTCTGTAGCAAGCAGGGTCCACTTAAGCCCCACCCCATACATTCCAAGAGCAGCTGAGCTCAACAGAGGGGCAACTGAGGACAGTGAGGCAGTGGCTGGAAGTACTCTGTGTCCTTGAGGCAACCTTCCTATGCCGATCTCCAGCTGCTAGTGAGTTCCATGCAGGGAGAAAAACCTCTCTGCACAGTCCAGACCTGAGGGTAGATAGCAACTGATCTGAGGTGGAAGCCTTATGCCTGGAGCAAAGCAGCTCCCTTAGGAATCACTTTTCCCAGCGCCAAAACCAACTTGCCTGCCTCTTAGTTCCCTGACGGTGGGAAAACGGCTTGAGAGCTGCACGCTTGGTCAGGAGAAGCGAGACCCCACTTCCCGCGGCGGGAGGTGACCCTGGACACAGTAACTTGTCATCACCTCTGATGCGATCCCCTCTGGGCCTACAGATCCCTCAGTGAGGGCCGTTGAGGGTCATGTTCTCCGCTCCTGGCAGCGAAATTCCGCAAGAGTAGTGTGGCTGCGTAAAGTACAGTGCAAACGTGGACGCTTGTGAGACTAAAGGGGCGCTCTAAGTTGTTAGGCTAGGTGTGTCCGCAAAAGCCAGATAGCGCTAACCCTGAGAGACTTCTGCTTTAGCAAGGTAGAGTCCATGTGCCCCAGAAGGGAACAGACTATGTCTCTGTCTAGTAGGCATGGAGGAGAAGGAAACCCAAGCACTGGGTTTCCCCGGTACAAGAACAGGATTGGGACATCCTTCTATGCCTTGAGCTGTGGGAGGCTCCCACCTTCACCTGTGCCTTAGGCTTTGCTGGCATTGGTTACCGACACGCCCACGCTCCCATAGAGCTGTGGCCATGTCACCAGATATGCCCCACAAGAGCAGAGACTTTTTTCCGTTTTGTTTTCTGTCATGTTTCCGGAGCCTGGAATAGTTTTTGGAACAGAGTGGAAGTACATGAGTAGAACAAGTGACATTATAAATAAACCTATCAATCGCTTTTCTAATATTAATAATCTATTTACTAGTCCATAGTCCCTGCTGGCTTATGACCTTCTCCAGGGCAGGGAAGATGCCGTACTCATCTCCGTGACCCCAGCACCCAGTCCAAGGCCTGGCACAGATAAGTGCTCAATACCAATACCATTGTGTTAAGTAAGCGAATGAAAACTTCCTGGCCCCTCATGTCTTCCCTGGCGGCCCCCACTCCCTCCCCTTCGCCGAAGAGCCACTAGGGGGGTGGGTCAGGGCACACTGGCACCGGGGATGGGAGAAGGGAGGCTAGGACTCTGCCGGTGGCTCGCGAAGGTGGGACCGAGACAGCGATTAGATCAGGGAACGGAGGTTCTTCGGGAATGTTTAGAGAGTTGGGGCGTGAGCTGTTCAGGGAGGTTATGCAGACCATCTGCTGGAGGGAAGTCTGCGAGGAAGAGCTGGGGCTGAAAGGGATGGGATTGCCTCCTAGAGTGGGAGCGCGGGAGCGCAGCAACGCCCTAGGGCCCAGCGCAGAAGCGCTTGGGGAAGGGGTCCGCCTACAGCACAGATCCAGCTCGGAGGCGGGGTCTAAGGGCTCCGCCTACGACTGAGCACGCCCCGCCCCGCAGCCCTTGCTGCGCCTCGCGGTGGCAACTCCGCAGGGTCCTGCGACCGCTACCTTGGGCTCTAAGAGCCCGGAAGTTACGTTATCCGCGCGCGTCACGGGGCGGGAGTCAGCTGAGCTGCTGGGGCGAGGTTGGGGTCACCTGGGCCCGGCCGAAGAGGGCTTGTGATCTTTTAGGGGGCAGGAGTAGGCTGCAAAGCTGCCCGATCTTCTCTTTCTGTAAGGCGAAAGGAAGAAGATCCTCAGGATTCTAAAGAAGCAGCAGCGGCAGCAGATTCCCAGGATCTGTCAGAGGTTGGGGAATCGCAGCTTCCAATCTAGGGAAACAAGGATCCCTGGGGTCAGCCGTGTTGTGATCTCCGGGCCCCCTACGGAGGGCCCAGAGGCCGGGCATCATGGCGTCCATTCTGGATGAATACGAGGACTCGTTGTCTCGTTCAGCTGTCCTGCAACCTGGCTGCCCGAGCGTGGGCATTCCCCACTCGGGTAAGGAAGAGGAAGGTGCCACTGCCCCTTAGGGCTCTTCTAGCACCTACCGCAGAGGAGCTGGGAGGGCGGCTCGGTTTCAGCCCTGGAGACGTGCATTACGAACTAGGCCCCTGATTTTCCTCAGGATCTCTTGGCTTCCAGCTGGTGGATGGTCGAAGTTTGGAAGAGCAACAGGAGCAGCTGGGTGATAAAGGCCCTACCACTAGGGTCCTACTGAGAGGGAACTGGGACCCAGATAGGAAGTACTTGCTTACAGGGCCGCGGTTGGACTGTTGGGAGAACTGAGACTAGGCCCCAGGCTCCTAGTGCCGGATTCTGTGCTTTTCCCACCAGGCCCCTTCTGGAGGTGGGAAGTAGAGAATGGCCAAAGAAACTGCTGAATTCAGGGAATGTTGTTGAGGAAGGAGGGAGGGTCCTAGAGGAAATTTTTTCTTTTTTCCTTTTTTTTTTTTTTTT